CATCTGTATTGGTCACCGATGATTTAAAACATAACTGTATTACTAAACCAGGCATGGCAAGGCTAACTGACGCTGTCAATTACGTGTCTGAAGTTATATGATTTCGATCTCGCTCATCAGGTGCGATATTCCACTGTATTAAAGTAGGGTGTCCGGTCATAAACCCCCTGGACAAAAACCCCCTGACATATACCCCCTGGACATAAACCCCCCGCGATATAAACCCACTGGACAAAAAAAAACCAATTGAGGTTTATATAACGAAAAAAACAGTATTTTATTATAACTTTAAAAAGAAAGATTTTGAGCGATGCCTCGCAAATACTCTATTATGGTGGGCTCATTAAAACTTTAACAACAGTTGAAATTCGAGCGCTGCTATCAATATTTTTAAAAAGAAAGATTTTGAGCGATGCCTCGCAAATACTCTATTATGGTGGGCTCATTAAAACTTTTAACAACAGTTGAAATTCGAGCGCTGCTATCAATATTTTTCTTTCTGTTTTGGTAAACAGTGACCTGAATTAATCTGTGTACAATAAACCTCTTGGGTGGCAACATCCCATACTTGACTGGAAACTTCTGTGCCAGCTTTCAAATGAGTTGTTTGATTTTGGCATAAGGTCTTCAGCACGACGTGTGTGCACGTGGAACAGCACGAGGTGTGTGCATGTGGAACAGCACGACGTGTGTGCATGTGGAACAGCACGACGTGTGTGCATGTGGAACAGCACGACGTGTGTGCATGTGGAACAGCACGACGTGTGTGCATGTGGAACAGCACGACGTGTGTGCATGTGGAACAGCACGAGGTGTGTGCATGTGGAACAGCACGACGTGTGAGCATGTGGAACAGCACGACGTGTGTGCATGTGGAACAGCACGACGTGTATGCATGTGGAACAGCACGACGTGTGTGCATGTGGAACAGCACGACGTTTGTGCATGTTCCACATATCAAGTGGTCTGCCAATAGAGTAGTCCTTGAAACAGTCGGCAATCGGCATTGCTTCTTGGGGAAACATTTTCTATAATTTATTAAAGGCAGAACTAATGTGCTCATGGCCACACAAGCTAACACAGGTAGCATTCTGAGCTTGAGAGCAAATTCGCTATCAAGTTGGGAACGTTGTTGAAGACCAGAGTCTTGTATTTTTCTGCATATGTTTTGGCTAAGATGGAAAAAGCATCCTTTTATCTCACAGTCTGGAAATACCCTTGCAACACTTTTTATCACAGCCATTTCAAAGTCAATCATGATAGAAATTGGTTGCAGGTTTGTATCAAGACCGTTAGTTGCTGTAACAGTGCTGTGTATGTTTCCTGTGTATCGTTTTAAACTAAAGCATAAACACATTGAACAATCCGTCCATTGACCAATGCATGGACTGTGTACAGTTGTGAAATAATGCAGGCGCTGTTTTGAATGTACCACCCATAAAGCAGTGCTGATTTAACCTCCAATAACCTAATGTTGTCCTTATTTCCAAACAAGAACATCCTACCTTTTGACTCGGCATTAGAATCGTTAGTCGTTAGAAATTATATTACTTAATTATTTTTTTTGTTCTCATCATCGTTATTGTTTACTTATATAAACCTCAGTCGGGGGGGGGGGAGGGTATTATCCAGGGAGTTTATGTCGCGGGGTTTTTTGTCCAGGGGGGTTTATGTCGCGGGGGGGGGTATTATCCAGGGAGTTTATGTCGCGGGGTTTTTTGTCCAGGGGGGTTTATGTCGCGGGGGGGGGGGGGGTATTATCCAGGGGGTTTATGTCGGGGGGTTTTTATCCAGGGGGTTTATAACCAGGGTTTTTTTGTCCAGGAGCCTTAAAGTAGCAGGACATCGTTTTATTTCTAATATTTCAAAAAATGAGCTTATTTTTTAAAATATTAAAAACAAATCATCGGGATCAGATCGCCAGGTATTGAAATTTTCTTTTCAAATTTTCTTAATAGACACAGTGAAGAGATGTGTCTTGGTTTTCATACACAAAGATCGGTAAGTAGTATAGGCCCTTATGAACTAAGATTGTGTAACTAGTATAGAGCCTAATTCTCTAAAATTAAGTAGCCAGCTTAGACCTACATAACCTAAATTGAGCAACTAGCCTATAACCACATAACCCACAATTGTGCAACCACCCACATAACCCAAATTGTGCAACCACACACATAACCCAAATTGTGCAACCACCCATATAACCCAAACTGTGCAACCACCCATATAATAACATAACCCAAATTCTGAAATTAGCCTATAACCACAAAACCCAAATTGTGCAACTAGCCTATTGTACAACCACCCACATAACCCAAATTGTGCAACCACCAATTTTACCCATATTGTGCAACTACCCATATAACCCAAATTGTGCAACCACCCATATAACCCAAATTGTGCAACCACCAATTTTACCCAAATTGTGCAACTACCCATATAACCCAAATTGTGCAACCACCCATATAACCCAAATTGTGCAACTAGCCTATAACCACATAACCCAAATTGTGCAACTAGCCTATTGTACGACCACCCATAAAACCCAAATTGTGCAACCACCCATATAACCCAAATTGTGCAACCACCCATATAACCCAAATTGTGCAACCACCCATATAACCCGAATTGTGCAACCACCCATATAACCCAAATTGTGCAACCACACATATAACCCAATTTGTGCAACCACACATATAACCCGAATTGTGCAACCACCCATATAACCCAAATTGTGCAACCACCCATATAACCCAATTTGTGCAACCACACATATAACCCGAATTGTGCAACCACCCATATAACCCAAATTGTGCAACCACCCATATAACCCGAATTGTGCAACCACCCAAACAACCCAAATTGTGCAACCACCCATATAACCCGAATTGTGCAACCACCCATATAACCCAAATTGTGCAACCACCCATATAACCCAAATTGTGCAACCACCCATACAACCCAAATTGTGCAACCACCCAAACAACCCAAATTGTGCAACCACCCATTTTACCCAAATTGTGCAATTACCCATATAACCCAAATTGTGCAGTTAGCCTATAACCACATAACCCAAAACATGCAATTAGCCTATAACAACACAACCTAGATTCGTCCAACAACCCAGATCTCGGATTCCAACCAAAACGCCACCCTAACGAACGTATCCTGTTCACCCGACTCCTCTATTTGATCCGTATCAATCTGTGAATCCCCTCGGGCCCGTCTAATTATATCTAACGTGCCCTATGGGCTGAGAGTGAATCTCCGATCAGTATAGATATTCCCGCTATCTGCATGCTTAATCTCCCAGGAGCTCAGCTGCCAAATCAGGCTTCGCTTTATTAAGTCTAAGAAATACGACACCCTCCCCCATCTACCAGTGGTACTGGTCTACATTACATTTGATTCTTCAGTAGCTGTGTTTTAATAAATTAGCTATTTCCGAATAGGTAAAGGCCGTTTAATAAAATAATGGTTGTATTGTGAGTAGTTTTATGGCTGCGAAAAAATTATTGTGGTTGGGAGAGAGGGTGAGGAAAAGGATGAAGGGGGGGGGGGGGGCTATAAGGGGTAAATAGACGACTGTCAATAATGATGGCACTTTGGAGCGAGCCCATAGCAGCACTCGCCCGGGAGATCCTCCGTCATACCCAGTGCACTGTAAAACATTTGGAATCTTTGGAATCGTTGGAATCGCAATTGGTTTCCAGATTAAAAATATCACAGCGTCGGTTTTTAAAAACAAACGTCTTGAAGAGTATAATTTATACATTAAAAATCTTCAATCTTTAATTCCCCCCTCCCACTTCCACCCTAAGAAAGTACGAAATGCACATCAGCACTCAAAGTCCTTTCCTCCCACACACACAATCCTTTCCCAAACAAGAGTTTCTTTTAGGCATCTGTTCGCCCTCTCTCCCTCTTACACTCGACGAACGTCCACCATTTTCACCACTGAACGAAATAGAAAAAAATGTATTTTATATAAAACATTTATACATTATCCAGTATCCGCCTCCACATCCCCGCAATTTGAGTGCAACCCCCCCCCCCCCCCCAAGTTTCAAGTACCCACAGGATAAATACGTCTGAAAGAAAAACTGACCTTAATACTAAAAATTCATTTCCCAGCATACAATACCCTCCCTAATCCACAATTCAAAAAAAGTCCATTCCCCGTCTTTGTTCCATCATACTCCCCCTTCTATTTATCCTAGTATGACTTATCCTATTCCTCTGTGGCTCCTGAGGAGCAAAGCGCTGCATTATCCCGGTATCCTTACCTTGTGTTAACACTACACAAACTACAACCTTCACTCTAAATTCACGTTCATACACTATCTTAAATCTACAGTACGGTACGTCTAAACCAATTGAGCTATTCACTTGCTTATGTATAATATACAAAGTTTATAGTCAACTAATGAGAGCACGAAAACGTAAAACAATACTGGCTGTCTTAAAATTTCTTACATTTAAAAATAAAAGATAAAAATATTTTCACATAATAAATATAAAATAAATGATAAAATAATGTATATAATAAGCTCTATATAAAATAAATAAATATATCTTGAAAATATATCACCATATTTGACTACTAAAATAATTAATTCTCTCAAGTTTTTGAAAGGAGCTTATTGCCTTGATGAGACATACGATTTTATTTTAGAAAATTTAATTTCAAGAAACTGTCTACACTATATATAACTCTTTATTTCAACCTTCTATAACAAAAACTTTTGTTATAGATCTAGGTTCGACTCTTTTTATAGGAATTTCTAAATTTTTGTCCAGGTATAAAACATCTTTAAATGATATTAATGACATATCTGTTACGTATTTGTAAATATCACATGCTTATATATGCGAGGAGTATATGTTTCATGACATGCTCATATGATGCACTCCATTTTTTTACAAACACAAATTTAAAAACAAAACAAACACAACCTAATTAAAGAAATGAATCATATAGTTTTAAAGTCTCATCTTACTTTATACGATCCTGGCAACTGGGTCGATGTAAAAATCCGAATCGTGTGGATGATGTTTAAAAAAAATCACGAAACACATAAAAAAAAAATCCAAGGATCTCACAAAACGACTGAATGAGGACCAGGGGTAAAATCATAAATAAACAGAACTCTTAGCACTGCTTCGTGCCCGCCGCGCATGCGCAGTGTGCGAGGTTGGAGGTTACTCACCGCCCTTGTGTTATCGATCTGGTTACATCGTTACTTCCCCTCGTTCGCCGTTTCGTTCTCTCTTTCATCTTTCTCGCGCATCTCCCATTAGATTCAGATGTTTATATCACATTTAAACTTTACTTTTTTTTATTTAAGGTAAAATTTTTAGAGTTACTTGAGCTCCATTTTCCTTCTGTTTACTTTATTGAGAGACATATATTGTGATGATAAATACACACAGAATAATATCTAGAAATTACACGATGACAAAAATGTTATTTCAGAAAACGATGCTAAAATCTGTTTTGTTTCCTGATCATTCTCACACAAATATTTCAATTTCTGAATATATGACATCACACGATTCAAATAACAACAATAAATACAATTAAAAAAACGCACACGTATTTTCCCATAACGCTCGTATGTTTTGTGTATAGAAATAATCTCACCATATTCATAATAAAAGTACCCTTTTAGACCACCAATCCATATGAAGGGACAGTGTGGTCACCACTAAGTTAAGTCGTCTTCATTTCTCCTCGGATCAGGTACCCATTAGAGCTGGGTAGACTTAGGGACCTTTTATAAATTTGTGCTTAGGTCACCAACTCTTCGGGATGGTAATAGCGCGCTCTACATTTCTACCATACCGACCACCGGTATGTTTAATATGTGTTTACACCTTCATGACGTCACTTTCAGGCTGCAAGCATATCAGTTGTTTCTTATTTTACTTTCATTTTACTTCGAGGACAAAACACAAATAACGCACACAGGTCTACATCGAGTGTGGAAGTCATTGTGTATCTATGTTAGACGTTCATTTTTGGGAACTTATTCCTAAAGACACGCTTGCGAAACTAGTAAATAATATACACGCACACACACACACCACACACACACACACATATACACACAAACACGCACACATTCGCGCATGCACACACACGCACGCACGCACACACACATACATACATACACACACACAGACACACACTCAAACACACACACACCCACACACACACACACACACACATACACATATATATATATATATATATATATATATATATATATATATATATATATATATATATATATATATATATATATATATATATATATATATATTGTCTACCTCGCGAAAAGGATTTTCTGATAATTACAGTAATTAGATTACACCAAGATGTTTTGTACGATTTGTCTCTTTCAAGCCGTGCGCTTTATCTCTCAAACAGAAAAAAAAAACATTCTCTAAATTGGCTTGTGCTTGAGGGAGTTGCAAACAAATCAATGAAGCGAGTACGTCTCAACACTCCCTCTCTCCCTCTCCGCCCCACCCCCACCCCGATAACGTTCTATAGATCTCGAAGTTTTTTTTAAATTACAAAATATGCACGCCACCATATAAAAACAAGAAACAATGAACGGCAATGGATACAAGAGAATATTTCCATAATAGAAGCGAATGGAAACTTTGAGTTAATAGAGTTTTGTTGAATGTTCCTCTTCATTCAGATAATAGGATGTATTTTATAAAAAAACATGTGTAGGTTAGTTTTCTTTTGTCTTTCTTCTATGATTCATATAGAACTTTAGAGACGAGGTATGCTTAATGAGAACGGAAAGATAGTTTTGCTACGAATGGCTCACATAGAAAATTAACATCTATTTAAATTTTTGATTTTTTTCCCGTGGTTTTGTACAACTAATCAAAAGACCATCTGTTGACACAGACACATACATATACACATATGCACACATGCACATACACGTATGTACATACACACAGACACAAACACACAGACACAAACACAAACACATAGACACACACACACATTCACACACACACACACACACACATATATATATATATATATATATATATATATATATATATATATATATATATATATATATATATATATATATATATATATATATATATATATATATATATATATATATATATGTATATATATAATCTTTGCACCACCAATAATTGTTACTCCTTTCTATTATACACTCTGATATATTTCCCACTGTTTATTGTTAGAATAATTTTATGATGACATCATCTGTACGACTTGACCCCAGCCCTCAGGTTTTAAATTTATCCCTGACGCTGTCCAAATGGTCTGAACGTGAGTAAACAGCGTGGTGACAGACGCAGGGCAATTAGTGGTGTAACAACGTCATCACCCTCCCCTGGCACTACAACAGTGGGGGGGGGGGGGGGGGCTGGAACTGCTTGACACGCAGTTTAAAAAAAAAATTCGGTGTTGCTAATTAAATTTTAATGAGGTTAAATTGAGTGAGGTCTCCTGGTATGGATGTTTGTGACAAACGACAGAAAAAAAATGGTTGAAAGATGCACTTTACGTGAGGCAAAAACGTAACTGTCTGTAGCGGATTTCGGGAAATAAGTGTAGGATATTACGCATATTAATAAAGTACCCTTTTGAACATTAACATTCATGGCACAGGTGAAGTAGAGTTCACTTTGTTCAGAGACCTCGGCGTATGAAGGAATTGTGTGGTCAGCACAATGCCCAGCTTTACTTTCCTCTAGCAATAGTCAGGTACTCATCAGAGCTGGGTGGACTCAAAGACGAGCCCGGGATCCAAACTAGAGACTTCCGTGGTACTAATCAAACGCTTCACCATTCGACCACGTCGTCACATAACCACGTATTGGCTAGCCATTTTTATCAACTGCTCTTGTATCACCGGCTTGCTAACGTTTTGTAACACAAAGATCTTTATCGCCTCCCTAAAAACTAAAACAGTTTGGCACCACTCCACTTTCTCTCATCACATTAATACCTTTTTTTAACTCCAATATTTCAAGTTTTTAGTATAGCCATAACTCTCTTGGGAATATACATTAAGGGAGAGAACTGTTCAATTTCGCAGTTTTCTAGAATATTTTACAAACAGTAAAAGAACATTTAAAATATAAAATATATAATTTTATAAAAATATTACGAACTTTATAATATGTAAAATAATGATTTAAATTATAACAAATTATGTCAAACTGTTCACCCCTCTCTGTAAACTAATGCCAGAAGTAGGTCTGCATTTCAATTGTTTACTTCAATTGTTCCCCAAGAAATAAAACGTGTAGCGGGCTGGCATAAACAAGACTAGAGACAATGTTTACCAAATGGAAAACATTTACGCGAGCAGTCCCGTTTAGCACGCAATTACTTCAAGTGTACTTTTACTCCACCTTACAGCGTTTTGTGTTTACACCGTGAGCAACATTGTGGGTTGTTGACTCGAGGGAGATGGGCATAGACCTCGCTTAACCACATTGATTGAAGACATACATGGATCTATCTTGACCTCAGGAGATCAATGACATATTAAAGACGTGTATGCATTTATGTTGACCCCAGGAGATTAATGGTTGTTTTAAGACTTACATGTATCTCGTTATGACCTAATAAAATCAATGATTAATTTAACACGTACGTGGATTTATCTTGACCACAGATCAATGGCTAGTTGAAGACCTACATGGACCTTATAAAATCAATAATCAATTGAACACCTACATGGATTTAGGTTGAATAAAGGAGATCAACGAATGATTGAAGATCTACAAGAAGTCCATCTTGACCTAAGGAGATCGATTGGTCGATTAAAGACGCACATGGATCTGTCTTGACCTCAAGAGATCAATGAATGATCGAAAAAGTACATGGAAGTCTGCTATCGCTTGGAACAACAGAGCCACACAAATGTAAATAGATTTCAAAGCGTTAATTTCGCCGGTTTTGTTTTTCTTTAATTCTTTTAAACCCCCAAGACGCCCTGGTGCATCTGGTTCTATGGTAACCATGGAAACGCCAGAAAATAAACATCTTCCTACAGAACCAGGTAAAATTGAAGTCAAGAAGTTTAAAATCTCGGGCTATTTAGTGCGCTGGAAAATTTCGTTAAATGGGGAGGAGGTATTCAAGAGTTTGTTCAAATACAATTCGACTGCTAGCACAAAAGTGTCGAGCTGGGATCCATGACTCGAGTCTGTAGGACGTCCCTGAGTCCACCCAACTCAGATAGGTATCAGACTCACGTTAGGAGAACAAAGGCGGCTGGGCAGAGTGCTGACCACACTATTTTCTCGTATGCCGAGGTCACTGAAACGGATGAACTCTACTTCATCTGCCACATGTGTCATGGGCCTCAAGGTTAAATATAATGATACTGATTTTAATGTAAAGAAAATAAAAATAGTAAATTTACTGCATTTAATTATGATTAAATTACGCGTTTATCTGCACTTAAAGTATTAGGGCAGAAATAAGAAAATTTGTAACACAGATTTTTATTAATAATTTGCGAGGAAACAAGTTTTTTCTTCCACGTTACTTGCACGTAAAAACAGAGTTTTGTCTCTCTTAAATATTTTCGAAATTTTCCTTACAAACTACATGTAAATAGGTTTATTTTTTATGTTTATTCAATCAATAACAAAGATGTTCACATAATACATTTCATCGCTATTAAACATAAACTATAGACACACAAGCTAATCATTACCATGAAATATTATTGCTGTATTTCAGATAAAGTATTGATATCCTGTAATACCAGAGGGATTGGCCAATACTACATCTTACATGAAGTACTAATGATAAAACTGTCCAACAACCAGTATACTAAAAAAAAATCTATGAAATATTTTTCTCAAACCCATTACATCGTGTATGACAGTCCTAGTCAGCCCGGGGGAGTCTAGGAGAAATACAATTAGACGGTACGGGGACTCATTAGAACGATCAAGCGAGCTTTTCTTTGCTGGACCAACCTGAGGCGAAAGACGAGATTTTGTTCGCTTTTTCTCACTGTTTCTCGATATTCTCCATTAAATACAATCATTATACATATACTTTCAAGATTTGCTT